TGAAACTGAAGAGCAGAGTAGAAAAATAAATTAAACGAGAATTTCTTTCTCATCCGGAATGTAAAGCAATAAAGCAATTTTCCACCTCTCGTTTCCGTTTTCTCCCTTCCTCTTCATCCCTTCTCCCTCCTTCCTTCCATCAAAAGACAATAATGTATCTGACACCTTAGCATCCTTTATTGTTGTTCGCGGTTCTTCTTTTTTGTTCCCCTTCTACCCTAGTTTTTTTAATTACTTTCCAATTTTTGGTCATAAAACTTTAACGCTAAATTTGGAACAGCAAAAAAAAGGAAAACAGTGTCGGAAAATGACTGTCTTTTTTCTGTTAAGCATATACCATTTTAAGTATTTTTAGAAGGTAGTTAATCAATCAAATAAAAGTAAGTTTTTGTCATTAGATGCTTGACGTTTTTTAACCTAAACCTTCATCTTGCCTCCACCCAATATTTGGGGTTAAACTTAGTCCTCTCTTGAATAACCTATCACCATCACTTACTGTTTATGCCGTCTTGTTACCGTTAACCTTCAATCTCCATCCATTTTCATCCCATTGCTTTCTTCCTTCTCCTTCGTTTCCTTCTACTTTTCTTCTTTTTTCCATTTCTGCTATTGGCATTTTTATTCAATTCCTGTCAGATAAAGAAAGTTCCAACTAATAGTTGAAGAAAGCAGAATGGACAAAAACCTGCCAATTTCACACCAAATACAACTTCGTGCGCCGTTTCTTTTGAAATAAACTCAAATTTTTTTTTAAACCACTACTTAGTCGTTTTTTTTTCTTGAAATTTATTTAAGAGCAAAAAAACAAACCCCCAAATTTTCTTATTACATTTTTTTCCCCTAAAGTCAGTTAAAAAACTAATAACAAAAAACAGTTTCCTATCTTACTTCACTTTTATTCACCAGTACTGGAAACGTGCAAATAGACGACCAATCGAAGACAAAACCGAAGATGAAAGGCAAATTACAACCAAACAATTTTTATTGTCTTTACTACGCCAACATTTTTTTTTTCTTTTTTCCGTTTAAAAATTTAATTGACACACGAGAGAGGGGGACGAAGGGAGATTAAAATGTGAAAGGTAAAAAAAAAAAGAAGAAAAAATATTTGCTCTGTTTTCCACATAATAATCTCTTATTAGACCTGCTAACCTATGTTGTTGCTGCTGCCGTTTGTTCATCAACTATACCTTTTCTAAAAGCAGCTTTACACTAGAGCCTAAACTTCAAATTCTAAACCTAATAAAGTTAACAAAATTCTATGAATATATACCGTATAGATGACAAAGACGTTTGTCGAATTGATGGGCCTCAAACGATTTCTCGATACTGATGAAACAACAACAACTTCACTCTCGGTTCATTCTTTTCGTGCTTGGAACGTTAACATTTTCCAATTTACAGTAAACCGTCAAATACAAACAGATATTTTCCTAGACCAGAAAAAAAAAAGACGGAGAAAAAATTACTGCAATAAAAGCATAAAAAGTTTATTTTTACAGGAGAAGAGGAGTAAAAAAAAAAACGAAATTATGTATACTTAGAGCACCAAAAATCTGTCACCAAATGACAATACTATCACTTTCAATTTGCATTCATGACTATCAATTAAACAAAATTAGAAATAAATTAGAATGTTCAAAAAAAAAAAAAAAAAAAAAAAAAA